GAGCAGAGGGGCAGAATCCCCTCCCTCCACCTGCTGCCCACGCTGCTCTGGGTGCAGCCCAGGACACGGTTATTGGCCTCTGGGCTTTGAGCGCACGTTGCCGGCTTGACAATCATCAACGGGACTGTGTGTGGGAATGAGATCATCACCCTCAATCCTCTCTTTGAACGCAGCCATCAGTGGGATTTCTGACTACAGCTGTAGCTGGGTTTGCAGTCTTCCTCCACAGAGCTGCCCATACCCATATACATTTCAGCCCGTGGACTTTGGAGGTGCAGGTTTCTTGGAGCTTTACCCAGGCACTGCAACACCCATCTGATAAAAGGAATATCTTCATGCCAACCTCAAACCCATACAACAGGTCACCACTGTCTTCTGCTGTGCTGCGTAGGAAGACTGTTAACACAAACCAGATTTGCAGGGGGAACACATTCCCGTGTAAACAAGCTGAATGCAAGAAAGAGGGAGAAAATGTTAAAAAAAGTGTATTTCTTTTTTAAAATGAACCTGTTAAGTGATTTATTCCTTTAAATAAATGCTTCAGTGTTCTGTTTGTTACAGAAATGCAAACAATTGGCTGTGCTAGGTACAACTGGGATTTTCAAGGCAACCTTGAAGAGCTGCTAAGCCCAGGTTGCTGCAGAAGGGTAGGAGGGTGTGGGTACCTCATACCCATAGTGCCTTCCTGCTCCATGTGGGTAAGTGGGCAGAGGACCACAGCACCCAGGTGGCCCCAGATTTAGGGTACAGAGGAGAGATGGGCGATGAGCCTTACAGCAGGGACCTGTGAACAGCATCTTGCAAAGAGCTGCTGAAGGTTTATCGTGCATCTGTTCCAGCATCAGAGCTTATGATGTGCACAAGAGTAAGTTTTCCTTAGGTAAAGGATTTTTAGGTTGGTTTTGGAGAGATGCTGGGAGCCTTAGTGGGGATACTGGAGTAATGGTGCTTGGGCATTTGGGGTGGTTGAGAGCCTGGTGGGTGCTGGGGTGGCTTTTGATTTCCTGTAGGCTCTGATGACCTTGTTGGTGTTTCCATCCTATGGCAAGCAGCTCAGTGCCTGGGGTGCACTCCTCTTTCTGTGAGGACCATCCCAACTTCTCTCTCTGAGCTCCTCTCTGGTGTTTTGTCCATCTCACCTCACCATTGCTCCAGCTTTATGCTCTTCACTTACCAATTTTGAGAACCTCTCAGGCCGTTATTGATTGTGGAGCCCAGGACAAACTGCCCACATCTGAGACATGATTTAGCACAGAGATGAGGCGACGGCCATGCCATTTCATATGCAATCTGGATATTCAAAGGCATGTTTTAATCTTCTCCTAGCAGTTTTGCTCCTGCTGCGAATATCACTTTGTCTTTCTCTCCATCTACACCACAGCAACTGCTCTGCTGGTAGTTCAGAAAACCATATTCCAAGAGTTAATTAATTTGTACTGGAAAATGTCCCATATGCTACTCTTTTTGTTTATGGATGTAGAAGACGAACGGCAGAATTAATTAATGTTAATGCCTATGTGTGTGTTGTTTGGTTTTTTGTTTTGTTTTTTTTTT